ATGGGGGTGTTAACTTTGGATGAAAACGTCCTCTGTCTCAGTTTGGTGATTCAGACTCATCTCTCGGCTCTGGTCTCCCCTCTCCCCTGCTCTCTCATCTCTCCCCTGGCCTTCTCTCCCTCCTTCCCCTGCTCTATCCAACCTCTCCCCTGGCCTCCCCTCTCTCCTCTGGCCTCCTCTCTCTCCTCTGGCCTCCCCTCTCTCCCCTGGCCTCCTCTCTCTCCCCTGGTCTCTCCCCTCTCTTCCCTGGCCTCCTCTCTCTCCCCTGGCCTCCCCTCTCTCCTCTGGTCTCTCCCCTCTCTCCCCTGGCCTCCTCTCTCTCCCCTGGCCTCCCCTCTCTCCTCTGGCCTCCCCTCTCCCCTGGCCTCCTCTCTCTCCCCTGGTCTCTCCCCTCTCTCCTCTGGCCTCCCCTCTCCCCTGGCCTCCCCTCTCTCCCCTGGCCTCCTCTCTCTCCCCTGGTCTCTCCCCTCTCTCCCCTGGCCTCCTCTCTCTCCCCTGGTCTCTCCCCTCTCTCCCCTGGCCTCGTCTCTCTCCCCTGGCCTCCCCTCTCTCCCCTGGCCTCCTCTCTCTCCCCTGGTCTCTCCCCTCTCTCCCCTGGCCTCCTCTCTCTCCCCTGGTCTCTCCCCTCTCTCCCCTGGCCTCCTCTCTCTCCCCTGGCCTCCCCTCTCTCCCCTGGCCTCCTCTCTCTCCCCTGGTCTCTCCCCTCTCTCCTCTGGCCTCCCCTCTCCCCTGGCCTCCTCTCTCTCCCCTGGCCTCCCCTCTCTCCCCTGGCCTCCTCCTCTCTCCCCTGGTCTCTCCCCTCTCTCCTCTGGCCTCCCCTCTCTCTTCTCTCTCCCCTCTCCCTGGTGTCGTCCTCCTCGTTTGCCTGTGTAAACGTATTTTGCCCTTTTCCATCCGCTCCACTTTAAATATTTTCATTAAAATCGAAACGATCCAATAAAGCGTCTGTCTGTGCTTAGTCAGGGCAGAAACGACGTCGTTGGCTTTTATGGGGGTAATTAAAGAGCAAGGGCGGCGGCCATATTGGCCAGATTTACACCAGGAGTAGAGTAGTGCTGGTTCTGCTTTAGAGGCTTTTCACAAGTTTAATGAGGTGGGATCAGAAAGAACAAGAAAAATATGCATCGTTTATACAAGATGTGATTTTGGAATTCAGTTGGAATGAATGAAGTCAAACCAAAAGTGTGAAATCAGGAAAAAACACGAGCACAATTCAATGTTTTTGTGTATCGCCCTAAATCACCGCAGCAGTCGTCTCGGAGAGCTTTACAAAGTTGGTGAGTCCTCAACAGCAGATCAGAGAATCAAATAGTTAGAATAGATAGAATTATAGTTTTTTATTGTTCATTTATTTTAAGCTGTGTTCTCCTCATTTCTACGGTGGGACCAATAACGGATCTCTTCATCTTCATCCAAGAGAAACCACTCCTGCTGGGACTCTGGACTCTCTCCGGTCTCTCCCTGGTCTCTCTCTGGTCTGGTCTCTCTGTAGTCCTTCTCTCCCTGGTCTCTCTGCAGGTCTACTCTCTGGTCTCTTTCCCTGGTCTGGTCTCTCTCTGGTCTATCTCTGGTCTCTCTCTGGTCTCTCTCCCAGGTCTGCTCTCTGGTCTCTTTCCCTGGTCTGGTCACTCCCTGGTCTCTCTCTGGTCTCTCTCCCTGGTCTCTCCCTGGTCTCTCTCTGATCTATCTCTGGTCTCTCTCCCTGGTCTCTCTCTGGTCTCTCTCCCTGGTCTCTCCCTGGTCTCTCTCTGATCTATCTCTGGTCTCTCTCCCTGGTCTCTCTCTGGTCTCTCCCTGATCACTCTCTCTGGCCCTTCTCTCTCTGGTCTTTCTATGGTCTCACTCCCTGGTCTCTCTCTCCCCATTCGCCCTCCCCAGTTGCTTTCTCTCTGGTCTCTCTTCAGTCTCTCTTAGCCCTCTCTCTGGTCTCTCTCACTGGTCTCTCTTAGCCCTCTCTCTGGTCTCTCTCACTGGTCTCTCTTAGCCCTCGCTCTGCTCTCTCACTGGTACCGTCTTCCTTGAAAATGTGAGACAGACTCCTTACTAATACACTGTGATTATTTATGACTTGACGGTTTCTATCTTACCTTTTGAATGAACTGTGCGATACAAATAAACTCTCCTTGCCATTAAACCCTGTATGTCGCTACATAGTATGATTCCTGGTCTCCTGCTTGAATACACCACAGTTTCTTCACTCGGAGCAGAAGCAAAATGAACATAATTACCTCATTTTACTGAGATCATTTTCTTGTAATTTATTTTCACAGTTTTTAGCTTCTTTCAATCAATGTTTTGACAAATTAGGGTTTAGTCAGACGTGTGATCTCACATCTGCTCCAGTCTGACTCTCACTCAACATCTGCCCCAATATGTGGACCGAGGCTGTGGACAAACAAAGGTCTCTCTCTGGTCTCTCTCTGGCCTCTCTCTGGTCTCTGTCTGGTCTCTCTCTGGGTTCTCTCTGGTCTCTCTCTGGTCTCTGTCTGGTCTCTCTCTGGTCTCTCTCTGGTCTCTCTCTGGTCTCTCTTTGGTCTCTGTCTGGTCTCTCTCTGATCTCTGTCTGGTCTCTGTCTGGTCTCTGTCTGGTCTCTCTCTGGTCTCTCTTTGGTCCTCAAGTCTATCTCTGGTCTCTCTCTGGTCTTTCTCTGGTCTCTCTCTGGTCTCTCTCTGCTCTCTCTCTCTGCTCTTTCTGGTCTCTCTCACTCTCACACTATCTGCTCTCTCCCTGCTCTTTCTCTCTCTCTCACACACTCTCTGTTCTCTCTCCCTCACTCTCACTTTCTCCCTGGTCTCTCACTCTCACACTCTATCTGCTCTCTACCTGCTCTCTCTCCCACTCTTTTCCACTCTCTCTCTTATTTCTAAAACCCCTAACTTTTTTTATGTAGCGCTCGCTGTGACGGTCTGCGTATGTTAATAAGTAACCACGGGCGGCCCCTGCACCACAGCTTGAGACCCACAGCACGTCTATATTAAGTCATTAAATGCAAAACAGAGGCGTCGTCAGAGAAGTGTGCCGGAGTCGGAGCGGCTGCTGATGCCGTAATCCTATTAACCCACATACTGTAGTCTCGCTGCTGCGGCCGCATCACACCGTCATTTATGTGCATTTATTTACATTTTACACCAGATATTAATGTCCTCCTCCTTAACGTCTCGCTCTCCCTGATTAGTTCGTCTCTCTGTACGTTTTGACGATATGAATTATTTACAACAATGTTAAAGTGTGTGCGTTGCGTGTCAGTAATCGCAGTGTGTTTCGAAAGAGTGAAGAAATGCAGAACTAGAAGAGCTGTGACTGGGGCCTCGAGGCGTTGTGTGCTCTCTCGCTGTTCTCTCTCGCTGTAGAAGGTCTATCGGAGGATTTTCTACTTCCGGGTGGATCATTAAGACTATAGGTCCTCCCAATTGTCAATTGTTCTGGTGATACGTGCTCGTCAAATAAGACCAGAGAGTTTTGTTCAGAACAAAAAGTGGAGAGGGCGGGTATTTCCAAAAAAAATGGGAAAATCCTCCTGTACCTTTAGTTCTCTCTGTTAATTCTCTGTCTGGTCTCTCTCTCTCTGGTTCCTCACAGGTTACTATCGGGTCTCTCTCTGGTTGCCCTCTCTGGTCTCTCTCTAGTTCTCTTTCTGGACTCTTTCTGGTCTCTCTCTCTGGGGTCTCTCTGGTCCCTCTCTGATCTCTGACTGGTCTCTCTCTTTCTGGTCTCTCTCCCTGGTCTCTGTTATCTTTCTGGACTCTCTCTGGTCTCTCTCTGGTCTCTCTCTCTGGTCTCTCTCTGGTCCCTCTCTGATCTCTCTCTCTGGTCTCTCTCTGGTCCCTCTCTGATCTCTCTCTCTGGTCTCTCTCTGGTCCCTCTCTGATCTCTGACTGGTCTCTCTCTTTCTCTCTGGTCGCTCTCTCCCTGGTCTCTGTTCTCTGTCTGGTCTCTCTCTGGTCTATCTCTCTAGTCTCTCTTGATTGGGGCCTCGAGGGTCTCTATGGTCTCTTGCATGGTCTCTAATCTCTTGCTCTGGTCTCTCTCTGGTCTTTCTCTCTGGTCTCTTGCTCTGGTCTCTCTCTGGTCTTTCTCTCTGGTCTCACTCCCTGGTGTCTCTCTCTCTGCTCTGTCTCTGGTCTCTCACAACATCAAAATCTGCGGCTGGGTGATTAAACATTCAAACACAACTAAATAATCCCAATCCCACATTAACGTCTCTTTTTCACTCTTGTGTCTTTTTCAGAAATGGAAATCTGGCTGTTTCTCCTCTCGTCCATCTTCGTCTCCGCTCTCTCGTTGGCTCAGGAAGACTCTCCCCTCTTCACCTTCACCTCCGACTCTCTCATCAACAATGTGGTGCAGGACAACCACACGGGCCGCATCTACGTGGGCGCCGTCAACACAATCTACCAGCTGGACCCGTCCCTGGTCCGCGAAGCCAGGACCGAGACCGGCCCCAAAGAGGACGCCAGGACCTGCACCCCTCCGGCTTCCGCGTGCCAAGACACCAAACCCATGGACAACCACAACAAGCTCCTCCTGGTCCACCCGGCTAACGGCTCGCTCGTCGTTTGCGGGAGCAGATATCGAGGGATTTGCTCGCTTCTCAATTTAAGCAACGTGGAGCAGCAGCTTTACTACAGCGACGGGAAAGGAGAGAGGACTTACGTCACGAGTATCGAGGATAACGTTAATGTGGTCGGAGTCATGTCCACGTACACGAGAGACGATTACACCTTCCCGGTATTTCTCGTCGGGAAAGGTTACGGGAGCTTGGACAGCACCAAACTAATCAGTACCCGGATTTTGCGAGATTTCCGCGAGTGGGTAGTTTTTGAAAGCATTATCGAAGCCTCCACCGTCCAGACCACGCCGTTCGTGCCCAAATACCTGCATGACTTTCGGCACGCCTTTAAAGAAGACGGGTTTGTCTATTTTCTCTTTTCCCGGACTCTGGACGGCACGGACAACAAGAACTTCACCTTCGTGTCCCGTCTCTGCGAAGAGGACCATAGCTACTACTCGCACACGGAGCTCCAGCTGAACTGCGGAGTCAACAACCGCTTTAACAAAGTGAGAGCGGCGTTCGTGGCGGCGCCGGGGAAAGAGCTGGCCAGGATCATGTCAGAGTTGGGAGTCTACGGGAACGTTGTGTCCTGGAGGAAGGTTCTGTTTATGGTCTCCAGTGCGGACGACGACCAGAACGAGTCTGCGCTGTGCATGTTCCCCCTGGACACCATCAACGAGAAACTGGGGAACATCATCAGCGCCTGCTACATCGACTCAGGGAAGATCTCTGGGGACCCGGCGGTGGACATCCCCTACTCGTCCAAAACCGATGAGTTCTGCACGTCCAAGATCGCGGTGAGTGGGACTGTGGTTGGCTCAATGTGCAGTCTAGTTTTGACAAATAACTAGACAAATAGATACAAAGGCATGCATAAAACATTCACTGTATACAAGAAAACACTAAGAACACAGACTGTGTTTGTCAGCTGGCTCTCAAGTTTCTCTCTGGGTTCTCTCTTTGGTCTTTGTCTGGTCTCTCTCTGGTCTCTCTCTGGTCTCTATCTGGTCTCTCTCCCTTGTCCCTCTTTCTGGTCCCTCTCTCTGGTCTCTTTCTCTGGTCTCTTTCTCTGGTCTCTCAATACAATACAATTTATTCTTGTATAGCCCTAGGTCACAACAGAAGTCATCTCAGAGACTTAACAAAACCATTGAAATCACCAACACAGGTCAGAGAATCAACAGTTAAAACACATGAAGAATATAAAGCACACACAGAAGAAAATTTCCATACATGTTGTAGAATGCTAAAGTGTCCTGATCATCACCAATCCTTTCTGTTGGACACTAACTGTCCAACAAGACCCTCCTGCATCGACAAGGAAAAACTCTTAAAAAACCCAGTGGGAAAAAGTGAGAAACCTTGGGGAGAACTAGGGAAACCCACAGGGAGGGAGACCCATATGAGAAAGGGATCCGCTCCTCCGGACGGACAGGCTAATGATCCAGGACCTAAGCTAGCTACAGAACGTGGACCAGTGGCCGCTGAACGTGGACAGGTCTGGTGCAGGACTGAAGCACTCCCAGGCGGGTCGGGCGGGGCAGTCCGCAGGTGTAGATGGAGGAGGCCAGGCTCAGAGATCCCGTCATCGTACCATGAAACAGACAATGGGACAACGGGTGAATAGCAATGAACAAACTACAGTCAAAATCCTAAAAATGCTAAACAGATAAAGTAGGAAGGAGGAGAGGATAGTGCTCAAGTTACCATACTTCTCCAGCAGGGGGCTCCCTATGCAGCTTGACTGACAGTCTGAGGAGTTTAGCCTTCCCTGAGTCTTACCTTCCTAGCCATATGCTAAACTAAAGAGGACTGTTTTAAACCTAGCCTTGAATAAAGAGAGCGTATCTGAAAGGAGGTGAGACAGCAGCAGCCACGGCTAGTCTAGGTTACAGCACCAAGATTCATGGATTGCACACACAACCTAATTATATATTATCATATACATCATATATATCATATATACCATACATAATACACAACATAACATACAGCATAATATATAACATAATATACAACATAACACAATACATAACATAATACATATATTGTATAATATATAACATAAGACAGCATATATATATAATATATACACCATATATTATATATTACCTAATTATATGCTAAATTAAAGTAAAGTGCTTTAAGCCTGGCCTTGAATGTGGAGACCGTATCTGCTTCCTTAACATAAATGAAGCTGATTCCACAGTAAAGGAGCTTGGTAGCTAAATGCTCTGCCACCAACAGTGACCTTTGAGACCTTAGGAACCACCAGACGTCTGGCGTTTTGTGAGCGCAACGCTCGACTTGGTTGATACGACACTAACGTGTCTTGGAGATAAGAAGGAGCCAAGCCATTTATGGCTTTATATGTTAAGAGAAGGATTTTAAACTTTATTCTGTACTCCACAGGAGCCAGTGGAGTGATTTTAACACCGGAGTTATGTGCTCCCTCCTTTTGGTACCTGTAAAGATCCTAGCTGCTGTATTCTGAACGAGCTGGAAGCTCTTCAAAGAGGCTTTAGGGCACGCTGCCAATAAAGCGTTACAGTAGTCGAGCCTTGAGGTGACAAACGCGTGAATGAGTTTTTCCGCGTCACTTTTAGGAAGGAAATTCCTAATTTTAGCGAGCGTTCTCACTGGTCTCTGGTCTCTCTCCGGTCTCTCTCTGGTCTCTCTCTCTGGTCTCGCTCTGGTCTCTCTCCGGTCTCTCTCTGGTCTCTCTCTCTGGTCTCTCTCTTTTCTCTCTGGTCTCTCTCTGGTCTCTCTCTCTGGTCTCTCTCCGGTCTCTCTCTGGTCTCTCTCTCTGGTCTCTCTCTGGTCTCTCTCTGGTCTCTCTCTGGTCTCTTCCTCATGGAGATAATAGAAGTCTATGTATATGTTGTTCACCTCATTCCACCTTTTTTATTGCTGGCTTAAACTGATGAAAAACTGGAGGAAAAGTCTCTGTCGAAGTGTTACATAAAAAACATTGATTTGTTGAGAAGCAGCAACGCCAACAATGAGCAGTTACTGAGTGGGCTGAAAGCTGCTTTACAATCTGTGTATGTTCTGGAGAGATACTAGTCCTTTGCTAAAGAACACAGAACAGAACAGACGTAAGAAAGCAACGCTAGACACATTTATTTGTATAGCACGGTTCATCAAGACACAGAACTCTTTTAACCTGGATTTTAACTCACTGACTGCCAGGCATTTTCAGATTTGAGAAGTGCGTTCTGCCAGCAATTTCAGGTGATTTGACCCAACTTTGAAGTGCCACAGAATATTAATTTTTTAGACAATGTAAACACCAAGGGCACCAAATTAAAGATTAACCTCTCTGCTTTACTCTGAAAAAAACAGTTTGTTTCTACCTCTTACCGTTCTTGAGCTATTCGCCATAGAACAAAGCATACTTTCACCCACAACACCTGGTCTGAGCAAGAAAACAGAGAAAAGGAGCTGTGTGTAAACAGGAACATATCAAGCAGAAAAGAGACTTTTAGATGCATTTTTGCTGCTTTAGTGACAACTCAAAACATCTTCACACTTGTTCTATTACAAAAATTATAAAAACATGACTCTGAAATAATACTTTTGATGGCAAATTTTTGGCAATTTATTCACAGATAGAAAATTTAACTTTCTTCTATTCCATCAACCAAAACGTCAAACAACAACAACACAAAGATCAATAAAACTATAGATGTATAAAATAGAATGAAGCGTGTGAATTTGAGTGTGTGTGTGTGAATGTCAGTGTGCGAGTGAGTGTCTGTGTGCGTGATTGAGTGCGTGTGTGTCTGTGTGCGCGTGAGTGAGTGCGTGTGTGTGTTCGTGTGTGTGTGTGCGTGTGAGTGTTCGTGAGTGTGTGTATGAGTGAGTTCATCTGCTTTTTCAGTCCTCCCAGTAGTTCAGCTTTGAGTTGTAGAGGTTGAAACACTGTGTGCAACGGAACACGACACGCTGTGTACCATTTGTAGTTCTCCCTCCGTGAAGAAGAGCTCCAGAAAGTCTGGATCAGATGAATCCAGCTCCAGAAAGTCTGGATCAGATGAATCCAGCTCCAGAAAGTCTGGATCAGATGAATCCAGCTCCAGAAAGTCTGGATCAGATGAATCCAGCTCCAGAAAGTCTGGATCAGATGAATCCAGCTCCAGAAAGTCTGGATCAGATGAATCCAGCTCCAGAAAGTCTGGATCAGATGAATCCAGCTTCGCAGCCTCTGTCCGCAGTCTCTGAGGTCCAGGAGCTCCTGTGAAGGGCAACTGACTCGGCTCCCACTCATCCTCCTGTCAGCCATCTTCCCCAGAGCTTCTGGGTGACGAACGTGCTGGAAAATGGATACACACAATAACTATATTATACAGTGAATTTGTTACAATAAATCAATACATAAAATACAATGAAGGCCTTCCTCCCACATTATTGACTGACTACTTTTGGACCAAACACAGTATACTATATTATTATTATTATTAGTGCTGTCCAAAATATCGCGTTATTAACGCGTTAACGCAAATCAATATTAACGGCGTCATTTTTTTTATCGCCATTAATTTTTTTTATAATTATTAAAAAAAAAAAAAATTTTGTTTTTTTTTTTTTTTTTTTTTTTTACTTTTTATTGCAGACAAACACATATACAGAAAAAAATAGACACAAAGAAAAGGACTAGTTAAGATACATTGTAGACAGAGATTACAAACAATATGTAGTTGGAGATACAGGGGGCCAAAGAAGAAACCCAGAAGGGCACATAGGAGGGGGGGGACATGAAGTGGGAGATGGGGGGGAGGGGTTAATAAAAAAGGCAATACAAGCAAACAGTATACAGTCATAGATATACCGAAAGTAAACAGAGAAACAGCATAGAGTATTTACATGAACAAATTTACAAAAAAATTGTTTATCATCATCATAATGACACCATGATGTTTCTATACAGTCTATGGTCTATACCCACACATACACACACACACCCACACCCATAAACACACACACTCCACACACACATTGAAGGGGCTTTTTGTTACCAATTATTTATTTTGTCATCCATTTATTGATGATTTTGCATCAAATGTTAGTGTGTAATATAACACTACACATTGTTTTCAATAAAAAAAGCAATTGCACACAGCACGCAAATGGGTGACTAATTTGTGATTAATCGCGAGTTAACTATGAAATTCATGCGATTAATCGCGATTAAATATTTTAATCGTTGGACAGCACTAATTATTATGTTATATTGCCATGGGATGTACAAGAATAGAAATAGTTCTTTTACCTTTTTTGTGCACAGCAACTGCCTCTTGATGCACCACCTGTAAATAATATAAATTTGTAAATCACTATACCAGGAGTGCTTCCTCTTCCGCCTCCGTCGAGCAAAGACGTGTCTCAGACGCTCCTGCTTCTGACTGCTTGCTATCTCCTGTTTTTGTCTTTTTCCTGGAGTTTTGCCACAGACAACTTTTAGCAAGAATGGAAATGGTAAATTGGTCCCTCAACGCAATTGATTCTATCTTTTCAACACGTAAGCGTGGGTCTGGAGAGCCCGAGTGCCCGGACGGGACTTCACCAGCGGGGTATACTCTTGACAGCTGGAACAAGTTTCAGCCCCTCTGTCTGTCGACCCTGTCCATTGAAGATTCGGAAGACGTATATATCTTTGGCATTTTGGTGGTGGGGATCCTCCTGTTTGGGTTTGGAGCGGTTCTCTTCTACCATAAATTCGGAGGCATGGCAGTTCGCAAGATTCACGACCTGCTGGCCGACAAAATTGATGGGATGTACAAGGAGCTTAGCCGAG